TCTTGATTAGATATTTGCTTTAGGGCATCCGGAACCTTTTCCAGAGGTTTGACAAAAGCCACATACTAACTGTAACCCCTGAAGGAAGCTGCATGTACACTTCATTCAGAACAGGAAAAGCAAGGTCCTTGACATTAAAGGCACTCGGAAAAAGATCAGAAAGTGCGGTACTGAATTTGCGGTAATGAGAAATGTCCACTGGTTGAGATGTTCCTCTATATGAAACAGCAAAAACAAACTGAGCATTTACAACGGCACTGACAAAAGCTACTGCTAGTGGTGGTCCAAGATCACACTGTAAGCACTGTCATATTACACAGCATGCAATACAGTCCCCTCCACAATTATTTATACCCCAGTAAAGATGAGTAAAAAGGGTTATTCACCTTTTGATGAATTAGCTTAATCTTACACTGGAAAAATGAGAAAATATCCAACCTTTATTCAAAGTAAATTTATTCTGAGATATCCCTCAACATAAAATTATTATTTATAACAAAACCGCATGCTATTGGAACACCTAGAAATTCTTACAAAATGTAACCAGCATTTTTGCATTCATGTTTAAATTGATCAGTGTCTAGGAACTTTCAAGCAGTAATCCATGATTTACTGTTTCACTGGGGTATAAATATGAGGTGACAGGTCAAATTCCCCTAGTCGTTCTTTTGCATGGGAAAGACAACAGAACACAATTCATACAAGGTAAAAGTCTGGGAATGGCTGGGAAAAAGCTACTTGCCTGAAAATGCCCATATCAACAGTCAGAAAAAGCTCTCTCTCCCTCAAGGAACATAAAATGCAGATACAATATGAATACTTATACCTTACATTATGTGTCAAAACTATGGATGTGCAAATGTGCCTCACATGGTGAAGTGCCCTATTATCTGGCGGTGGGCCCTCTGACAGAAGACAGAAAGGAAACATATGCCTTTTGGTTATGCCATCATTTTGTATGTCTACAAAATTGTTTGTAATAATTCGGCCTATCTTCCAAGTGCTTATGAAATCGGAGCCATGTCCATTAGAATATTTCTGCCTTTGTGAAGATAAATTCGAAAACCGGTAATGAAACTGCAATGTGCTCGGCTTGGAAGAATTTATCAGGCCAGGATTTGAAGCACTCTTCAAGGGGAGAGGCCTCCTTAATGCAGAGTACAAAGAGAGTGAAATAAGGAGAGAGTGTGCATGAGTGAGCAAGGGAGATTTTGAGAAATTTGCTCATCAGAAAAACAGGATCGTTATTTTCAGCAGGACTTAAATATGACCAAAATTACCCCTTACCCTCTCCTCCCCACCCTACTGTGCTCTTCATCTCTCCTGTTTCTGCCTCTGTCATTCAGCTCTCTCCCACTTCTATCTCTGAGTGAAAAACACTACCCAATTAAAAACTGCAAAAAGCTGCACACTTGCTGGTTCAGCTGAAGTCACGTACCCTGTCCTCAAAATCCCAACATACACACATACTCACAAGTAAAAATAAAAGAAAAAAAGAATGCAGATGAGAAAAAGCCTGCAGACCCTTTGGAATTATCAAGATTTTTGCAGGATTAACTCCTCCTACCTCCCTACTACCTCTTCGTCATAATAAATAAATGCAGCTTTAACAAACAGCAGCCGTTTACAGCGCCATATGTGTTTTAAATAAATGGTTTAAACAAGCAAGATCTTTCATTGAAGAATGACACAAATCCTTACATAGTAAGAAAGTAAACATTTATCGGTCATTACTGCAACTTTTCTTGGACGCTTTCTTCAGCTGCTGAACGTATGCAACAGTCTGAATGGATTTTTTGCCCTTAATTCATTCCTTTATTACAAAACATTCATGTATATTTCTGACAGGTTGTGCTCAGACAGTTTCCTTCAGACTTCTTGCCATCAACATTTCAATGGGATTGAGGTCAATACTCCTATCCGGTAACTGTAAAATACAGAATCTTATTTTTAAGACACCATGTTAATGTGCTCTGTGTTTTGTCATTTTAAATGACTCATCTTTAGAGTTTTATATCACAGACCGATGCTCTGAAATTCTGCTGTAAAAATTCCCAAAGTAACACAGGACTTTCTGACAGGTTTCTGACACAACGAAGCAACTATTACACTTCCTGCACCATGCTTTATAGGTGGGATGAGATTTTGGTGTTGGCATGTAGTATAGTTCTTTCCAAACATAATGCACTCAGAATGTACCAAAACTTTATTCTCGTCTGTCCACACAACACGCTCCAGTAGTGCTATGGAACATCAAGGTGGTTATCAGCAGACTTAAGACAGTCAGCAGTATGATCTGTGGTTTCTCCCATGCAAATTCCCAAGAAATGTATTCAGTCAGTATTTTTCTTCTAACAGATTCAAACACTGATGTCTTCAAGTGCAAGAAACGTTTACAGATCCTTAGTCACTCTAGGGTTCTCGGTTACTTGTTTAAAGATTCAGGGAGGCCTTACAATAATCTTTGTAGGCAGAGCAGCAATGGCTCTTCCATTTGTAAACTATATGCCTCACTGTGGACCGACGAAAGTCTAAATCTTTATAAATACTTCTGTGACCCTTTCCAGTCTTTTGGGATTCAAATTTTTTTGCGAGGTCCTCTAAAATCTTAATACTGTTGTGAAAATCAGGCAGCCAAAATTCTGTTTATAAATTACGCTACACAATTAAGTATTGATTGTAATGTATTGTACAGCACTTATGTATTTTATCGTATTGCACTGTTCTGTGTTTAACTCTGTCCCTTTTTCACTAGGTGTCAATGACCTTCTGATTCTACCAGTATCTGAGCTTAGGACTGACTTTCTCTCTAACCTATCGGTAGCTAGCGAAGATTCTTTCTCTGGATAGACAAAGCACTTTTTGTAAGTCGCTCTGGATAAGAGCGTCTGCTAAATGATGTAAATGATGTAAATGTAAATGTACACGTTAAACCTACACATCTTAACAAGGTCATTATCTGGCATGTTTGCATAAGATTTCCATCAATATCTAGACTGCCTGGACCATTTATATCATGTCGACATGAAATGTACAATATGGCTTGTTTAATTAATTTAAAAATACATATTTCAATTTATTTGAGTGACCTGATTTTCTCATCCTATTATTAGGGCTGGACGATAAAACGATAACGACTGGCGATCTGCTCTCCTGTGACCAAATGTGAGTGACGAGATAAGTGGTGTAACTGTACTGTCCTACAGCGAACTCACCTCTTTCTGTACATCCTAACAACTTTAGCAGCGTTAAATCACAATCACAATCCTCACAACTACAGCGCTGTTACAGCGCTCGGACAGTCATATTTAAATTAGTGCATTCCCAAGCAACAAAAGTGAAAAGTGAAAAGAAGTGAGTTCATGTGAGTTACAGCCCTGATTTAAACGAAAGTAAACTGAGGAAGCTGTGAGGCACTGGAGAGCGGGAGAGCGCTATCTTTCCAGGCTAGCTGTTTTTAGCAGCTGGCTAACTTGAAGCAGCGCTCTGTCACTCCACAGCATGGAGAATTGATGATACTGTAGATCAAACACGACACAAAAGCACCGCTTTCAGTTTAAACATACGTAAAAAGAGGACTCCGTTTGTCTGGTGTTGATATTTTGCGGTTCACCCCTTAAACTACTACAATTGAACTGAGAAATCCAGTCGTCGCTAGCTGGTGTCTGAATACTGTGATGTCATTTGTAGCGGGGTAGCCGAGCTGTTTTCTTTCTTAAATTATGATTATTACAAAAATAGCCATGCTTTTCCAGCTGATAAAAACAGCTCAGCAGACACTTTCTCCCACTCTCCCATGACAGATTTGTGAAATGTTCCACTGTTTGGCTAATGTTTGTTGTGTTCAGACCATAAAGGATAGTTTACAACAGCAAATAACCACTCGAACAAAACTCAGCCTTCAAACTTGAAAAAAATAATGATTTGACATTTATATCGAACGATATGAATTTTGTTTATCGTGATAACATTTTTGACCATATCGCCCAGCTCTACCTATTGTACAGCTAACCTGCATTAATTAATTGTGTTGTAAAGTGTGTGTGTTCATATGAGAAAAACTGGCATCTGGTAACAGTGATGTTTACCAAACATGGCACAGTTATCTTAGATCACATTCTCTGAGGGCAGAACTCAAGAGCAGCTAGAAGGGCAGAAGGTCACAGCTAGCACACAGAAAGGGGGAGAGTGGAGGAGGAACAGGATCTCATTCTTCGTTGCTTTCTTCCAGTGTTTCCAGCACCTGCAGCTCTGTTAGATGGGGTTAGCTGTTGCTAAATGCTGCACTGAATGTGATAGGATTGTCACGCTCCTGGTGACGTGAGTCACAGATTCGTTCTAAATTCATGCCAATTAATTAATTATTGCATTAAGACGCATTAAGAGACGACGAAAGTCAATTTTATGGCCTTACGAAAGTAGTCTGCCACTGGAACGAAAGGCAGGACCTCTTATTATGCCAAACACATACGCTGGTATGAAAGAGGGAGGTGTGTGTGGGTTTGTGTGTCTACCATGTAAATGTGCATGTGGGTGTTAAACACAGCACCACTAAACCAAAGTTGCTGACCTTTTTCCTAGCCCAGGTCAGCCCAAGGGGGCATTCCAATGTTTGCTGACCATCTCCTATCATACGTAGGACATTACTGAGTAGAATGCCTGGAGCATACAGTGGAATCTGTGCACAAAAACTGCTATGCTTCCAGACATTCATTTTATTTTTTTTTAATGTAACTTAATAAAGAGATCTTATTCTAAGCAATTTTGGAGCATTTCTGTTGATCCATCCAGCCTTAGTGCTTAAATGATGAACAAAAATTTAAATCGAACTGAATGCACTTTGCCATTTACTTTCTAAAGTTGTTCAAACATGGACTTTTGTACATGGACTGAAGACCTCACTGCAGTAATGTCATGTCATCAAGTCCAAAGAGGTGACATGGTTGATCTCTTTGAGCTGATCACACCAGCCATTAAGGCTGGGGACATTTGCTACTCACCGGTTTCCACATCCTGAGTGTAGAAGTGCAGTCCATCCGTGATCTCGGTGACGTACACAGGCCTGTAGTTGGCCACACGCTCCTTCTCTTCAGAGACCTGGGCCACCTCTTCTGTTGGCTTCTCTTCATAATTGGCCCAGATCTGTCACAATCAAAACACACACACACACACACACACATTAAAATACATTACTAAGTGGGTCTTTTCAAGGTATCTCTATACAATCTGGTGTGCTGCGCTATGACAATATGCCACAGGTCAACATTCCGACTCCAACCTAAAGCTTAAAACAGCAGGTCTGCAGGAAACTACGCATAAGTAGATATAAAGTTAAATAGAGGAATTAGCATTAAATGGACACAGATTAAGCCATAATTGCAATAATATCTATTAAGACCTTGAGCCTGAGCCAGAGAGTCAGTGCCCTGTTTACAATGAGTTAGCACAATGCAACATACTCCAACACCATACACCATACACTAAGTGTCCATTCATGCAGATATCTTCATACATGGAGTCTTGTTGGAGCATTGATACTCAGGGATGTGCATGTCACTCATGACTTCAAGTAAATGGTGGACAAAATCAAAAACTTTTCTGTTTGAGAACACTTTCCTTACTGATGGTGATTCTAGACTGACAAAATTAATGCTACTATAAAGGACAAGCATGTATCAACAGTTTTATCTGCTCTTGCTATAAGCTACCTTGCAACAGCACAACCTCACAACAGGTGTGGGATAAAGCATAGCAGACAGATATTTCCAGAATGTATAGCAAAAACAAACACTCGCACTAATGGTATAAATGTGGCCATGAAAGTTGATTTACCCAGTTGCTCTAATGATGATTTCTGTGCTACAATGTTTGGCAACCTTTAGCTAATCTACACGCTGTCCATGGTGCTGAAATTGGACAGGTTACCAACAGGTTGGACAGGCTGGCTGAAATTGGACAGGTTACCAACATAAAATATTTAATACACAGTCTCTATTACTCATCTTAAACAGTTACAGAACTGCAGAGACCACAGGGACTGCAAACAAGAGACCACTAACGTGACATCTCTTCAGTGCATTATGTAATGTCTACCCCAGGTTCAGTCATGCAGAGAAGCCTGTTAGCTTTGTTTATTGAGACATAATTGTAAAGTCCTTAATAATGCAAATGTAATAAGGAACATGCTTGAGATTTCTATTCTAGCTGGTGAATAATTATTAGCTAAACACATTCATTAGCTGAAGACAGTGTCTGCCACAGTGCAGACACTAGTTAATTAGGACCAAGAGCTTTATATACCATGTTCGCTGGGTTCCACGAGGTGCAATTTGGGCCACGAGGTGTGAGCAGTCGACATTTATAGGCCGATTTCACTGCTCAAGTGAGAGGCTGCTACTGAGAGCAGAGGAGCTGGTAAAAAGCCTTTATTACAAATACAACCAGTGACACGTGCACTGAGCCTTGCAGCTGTAGCCACCAAATGACAAAAGACAGGGTCAAACTATCCAATTACATTCAATTATTCCCCCCGAGGCATGAAATAAATAAAGACGCATAAAGAGGAATCATTCCAGAGAGAAGAAGGCTGGGTTAATGAAGATCTAAATATGCCACGCTTCACAAACTTTTTTTTCCCTCTCCCCCGCCAGTGTCCTCTACAGCGGGTCATTCATCTAGTCCACTCTCTGCCATGTCCTGGCACACTGACACAGCCTGACTTTTAATCAAACCTGCAGGACCAATCAGAGGCACCCAGATTAGTGTGTCACCACTCATTACTGTGGCGACTGTCACCATGTCGTCCAAGGCACAGCTGGACACGGTGGATGCCATGCCCCCACCGGCCGAGTGACCCCTGACACGTGCTGGAACACGCGGCAAGGACACTGCTGCTCCCCCTCCAAACACACACATGCACATACAAACTGAACCACGCATCCTCCGCGCCAAAGCAGCAAAGACAAGTGACCCTTTAACCACACACTCATTTTGACTTGCTGAGACTGGTGCACACAAAGACAAACACACACACACCCATCGCTCTGAGCCCTAGGCAAATGACCTTCCGCGAGCGGCCAACCATTCCTGTTTGTTCCACTTGAGCGCAGGTATGTGACTGCTACTGCCGCTGCACTCAAAGCGGGAGAGCGAGAGACAGAGAACAAAAAGAACACAAACAGAAAAAAGAGGGAAAAATCACCCCAGGTCTGTTCCAACCATCAACAATTTCGATTGCACACATACACACCCACTCAACCACATCTGGAAATGTTTGGATCATAAAAAAACAAACTCCCAGCGACCTTCTCCACTTTGCCGCTTCCGAATGAGGTTATCAGGTGCTCCTCTCATTAGTGTTCAGAGATCGCAAACTTGCTTTTTCAATATCTCCTGCTCATCTATAGCTGTAACGGAGGGCAAGAGAGCACGTGCCATTACAGGCTGACTCAGAGGAGTATGGTAGCTTTCCACCCAGCCATGCTGTACTGAGCATTCAAGCAGAGGTCTGGCTTTTCCTCTGAGAGATGCACTACAGCACAGTTACATTCATAAAATCTCTCTCTCTTTCTCTTTCTCTGCCTCTCTCTCTCTCTCACACACACTGCCCATTCCAAGCACTGATTAAAGGTGACAGCGTGTCAATTCCAATAGAATGTGTTCTGCCCAGCAAGAGCCAATCCCCATCAACACCAGGAACACACACACACGCAGGAGGCTGAGGGAGACAGAGAAACACCCGGGCCTCCCACTCCCCCCCCGCCCCTTTTTTTTTTTTTGCAGGAGAGCACTGAACTCAACCTGACAAAACGATCCGAAGAAAAGAGGATTATAAGCATCAAAACGAGTAAGGTAAAAGACTACAATAAGTCCTTCACCCGAGGTGGACAGAGCAGAAAGTGGAGGAGTTCACTTTGTTTCAAGTCCTCAGGCAAGCTTATGATAGGATGGCAGAGGAAGACTGGCCTTGCCTCAAGTTACGAGTAAACCCTGACTTTAATGAGTTCTTTGATTTCCTCAACTAGCCATCTTGCAAAAACAGTAACAGCACTGGTAATGAATGAGTTCACTTGGTAAATCAATTTAGCATGCATTACATTGTTAATGAAGGTCCCTTTAGGAAACGAAGCCTCATTAATTCAGCAGCCTCTCTCTTCCGCTACGTCAGTGCAGTGGCCAAACAGGCCTCCTGCTCATCGCACTCCAAACACACATACTGTTCATTAAGCCAGCTCATGCACTAAGAAATAAAAATAGATTTATGAATAAGACAGCATAATTTAGCAACAAAACAAGATCAAATGCAGAGCACTGATGTCAGAAAGTGGTGAAATAAAAGATAAAAAAAAAGCTACAAGACCAGCGTGGACAGCAGCTTATTGTTCCGCGTGCAGAGGCTAAGGTAGAGCTTGGACGTGCTGTCCTGTTTGCAGGATGGTAGAAGGTAAGTAAGGCAAGTCAACCAGGGTCTGTGACCCAGCATGTCTCGCCGCTCAATTCATCTGTCTGTATCAATGAAGCTATTAGAGTTGCAGGGAGATCGTCGAGACAGGCGCACGTACCGTCTGCTTACACATGCACACTAGGCATTTAAGTGTCCATCCACATGCCTGCATGAGCCTCAATGGATAACTTCCAAATAAACACAAATTAGTGCTGTGCTGTATTGATGACATTCACAAATGATAATACTTTCAAAATATATCATGCAATGGGATGATAATTATGTTAATGCCAGGGCACCTTACATAATACTGTAAGTGTTCACAAAACAAAAAACAGATTTGCAAAGAGAACTTATTCAGCTTTCACCTATTTTTTTTCCAAGCAATCTGAAGCACCCAACACATTACATACATCGCAGTTAAATATCAGGTCCTGCATACCATAGTTATGCTTGGCATTTGGGACACGGCTATTTTATGAGCATCTCACCATCAATATAATCACTACCTCTTAAACTGAAAATCAGTAACATGTGACACCAATACAGACACTGATGTATCGCTCAGCACTAACACTAACATTAATTACCCACACTCTGTCAAGACCACCATCTGAGCATACATGCAACCTATTTACTAACTGTATTGAATAATTCCAAAAACAACACTACTGCCCATACATTATGCATTAACACATACATACATTAAGTGACAAAGAACACAAACAGGACTTCATAGTTTATTCCATTCATTAGTAACTGCATTGGACGCTTTGACCAGAACTGACACTGAATCAGTTTTCAGGAAAAATGCCAATGAGAAAATGAGTATTCTAGGTCCCAGAAGTAGCATTTAAGCACGGTTTTACTTTTATAAATCAACAGACAGTGATCATTTCAGCAGAGTCATAAGAAATAAACAGCATTTGCTCAAGGTCAGTCTGGTCATTCTTAACATCCCTTTGAACAAGTCTTGTTTCCAGTCATCTTGTGTTTGGATAAAAATGTCTGGAAATGTACTTTTCAGACAGTGGAACTGTGGACCCGTGTACTAGAGATCGACTGACTCTAACCAACACTGTCGTGCAGTAGCATCCATAAACGGGTGGCTGACAGCAGGGGAAATGGAGGCTAATGATATGCTGACAATGCCACAAAACAAGGGTCAACGTGGACCGTGTGAGTGACAGTTCATATACACGTGGACAAGCATGCACTCTCCCTCTCAAACACATTCTTAAAAAAACAGCAAGAAAATTGTTGGAATTGTGTATACCTACCTACAGCATGCAGAAAAACCTGCTATGTTATTGTCTCTCCCTCACACACACACACATCCAAAACCATCCATCAATCAACATGCACATCAATCTGCATCACAATGAAATTCACATTTCTGCTAAACACATAACCACAACACACCTCCTTGCATAATGTCACATGTCCGTATCAAACACTCCATTCATAGATGACATCCAAGCATACACATTTCCACAAAGACATAACCACTTAGTCTTGTGGTGACCTGCTCATGGCTAGCAGATCAAAAGTAGAGCTACAAACATCTGTAATCCCGTTTAACCCAGCACTGGTCTGGCTCAGACCAGCCTGGCGGCTGCGACTTGGATATGGTTACTTAGTACATAAATTATGCATTAAAATAGCACAGGTGGTGCACGCTGGTTTGGGATTGAGCAGT